ATGTCTGACCCGACCTGACCTTATCAGGTCGGGTCAAGTCAATTACCCGACCCGACCCGACCTGTTCGGAGCTCTAGTATTAATTATTCCCTTATAATAATTACATCACCTGTAATTAATTATCACCTCATAATTAATTTCGCAATTACTTTTTTTTAAAAAAATAGTAATTTTTTATCATAATTACGTATTACGTATATACTTAATTAAGATAAATTTCTATAAAAACCTAATAAAACTATATGTATTTTATTAAAATATAAATATAATGAGAAAAAAAGAATTTATTATGATAAATATGAGTGATTAAATATAATAATAATATAAAAGAATATAATAGTTAAAAAAAAATTTAAATATTTGAATTTTATGAAAGTTACAATATTAATATATTAAAATTATTTAAAAAAAAAAATAACATATAATAAAAATCATTTTTGTAATAATAAAGAATTTTATAATTAAAATATATAAGATATATTATTATAGTTCAACCTATCTTTATTTATATTATAAACTATTATAATATCTGATAAAAATTATAAGCAAATTTATATATTAAAAAATACAAAAGTTTTTATTCTTTATTTTATATAAAAATGAATCAATATTAGAAACTAAAACATATATTAAATCAGGTAAGCTTTTCCTATAGATCTAAAATTAAAATATCTGATTTTTTGGCTTTTATTTTGTATTTAAGATCATAATATTAAAGTATTTATATTTTTAATAAATAAAAAAAAATTAATGCTAATGTTGCATTTATCTTTTATCATTTTTTAGCCACATATTTTCATAGTAATAATTTTACACTTTTCTATTTATGCAATTAATACTAACTGAATATTTCTTAAAAATAAAAAATTTAAACCATTTTTACATATGTTAGAAAGTAAAGCAATTCTAAATTAATTAAATTTCTTTATTTTATAATAAAATATTTTTTCTTGAATACAACTGTTCAAAATTTTTTAAAATTATTAATTTAAAATGAAAAATGAAGTGAAATTCTAAAAAAAATAATTGGAATTTTTTATATTATAAATTAATAAAGTAAATTAAACTATGAATATTATAATTATGAAAATAACAGGGGATAAAATGGTTATATCCTGGATAATTGGGATAGCTGTCAGATATGATTGGCAATTAAAGCAATTAAAAAAAAAGAAAAAAAAGAAAATTCATAAAAACTAACAATTTACCAAAAATAGGCAACTCTTGAAGGTATCTCGGTCAATATTCATCCAAAAATCATTAAATTTATACCATTCGATTCCTCTCATTGTGACGAATCTAATAAACTACATTTATTATTCCGTGACCACTAGATCACGAGATATCATCGATCGAAGTTTTAATTAAGCAACGGTTTTACCGCCATCACGGTATTAATGTGATTGTACTACCATGGTGTCCAAAAACGATAAATTTTTTGTTTAAATTGATATCGCGTTTGTATTTTTTCATCTTTTGTGAAAAAAAAAATGCTTTATATAATAGGTTTAGGTTTGTCGGATGAAAAAGATGTTACGATTAAAGGTTTTGAAGCAATTAAATCATGTGAACGGGTATATTTAGAAGCGTATACCAGTATCTTAATGGCATCCCAAGAGAAATTGGTAAATATCATCATTGGTTTCTTTGAAATAATTGTTGCCTAAGAGATTTTTATTAAAATTTTCATTAGGAAGAATTTTATGGAAAAAAACTTATATTAGCAGACAGAGAAATGGTAGAATCACAAAGTGATGAAATTTTATTAAATGCTGATAAAATAAATGTAGCATTTTTGGTAGTAGGAGATCCATTTGGGTATGTTTTCTTTATTAAAAATTTTAAAGAAAACATAAATCTCTCTAATATAAATTCTCTCATGAAATCATATGGATAGTGCAACAACGCATGCAGATTTAATTATAAGAGCAAAAGAGCTATCAATTCCCATTCAAACAATACATAATGCTTCAATAATGAATGCAGTCGGCGCTTGTGGATTACAATTATATAATTTTGGCCAAACTATTTCTATACCTTTTTTCACTGATAATTGGAGGCCTGATAGTTTTTATGATAGGATTAAAGAAAATAGAAAATTGGGTTTACATACTCTTTGTTTATTAGATATTAAAGTAAAGGAACAAAGTATAGAAAATCTAGCAAGGTACAAGTAATTAAATTCTTTAAATAATTTTTTTTTTATTTTTGAAACTAATTTTCTCATTCTTATTTAGAGGTAAGAAGATATATGAACCTCCACGATATATGAACGTTAACCAAGCGGTTGAACAATTATTAGAAATCGAAGAACAAAGAAAAGAAGATGGTAGCCAAATATAATTATTGTTATGAATTTTCCTTTTGATTAAGGCATGATCTCACAGATTTCCTTTTGAATTAAAGCTTACACATCGGAAACTTTAGCAATAGGAATCGCGCGTCTTGGTTCTCTTACAGAGCAACTAATTAAAGCTGGTACATTAAGTCAATTATTATCCGAAGATTTTGGCCCTCCATTGCATTCTCTTGTTATCGTTGGAGGTAGAATGCACGTCCTAGAAGCTGATTATATGAGATATTTCGTGACTGATAAAAACAAATTTGATGAAATTGTAAAAAGAGATTATAACATATAAAATGACTCGATTTATTCATTGTCCTTATCCCAATAATATTTCAATTTCCAATGAATTTGATGAAATTTTCACGCGTTTTATCGACAGTCGTCGTTTCAGTCCATTCTTTAACTTCGCTCACCAATTTAATTATCATTGTCATATAATAATCTAATCCATTAGGAGAATGATAATCCGTTTCAATTAACAATTTATCCTCTGGAACTGCTCTAATTAAATCGGGTAACCTACTATTTTTATCATTAATAACGATACTAAAAGAAAAATAAATATCTAATGAAGATCCCTTTGTTTGTTTAACCAAAGCTTTAATTGTATCAACGGAACCTCCAAATGAGTGTAAACATATACGAGGTGGAAGTGGTTGCTGTCCTTTGATTTTTTTATTAAGCAATTGAGTTATTGCTCCCGTAGATTGAACGCAATGCATACTGACAGCACGCTTGTATTTGGCTGCCAAATCCAATTGTTTCTCAAAAATTGCTGTTTGATGTTTTAATGTAGTTTGGGCTTGGCTAAGACGGTTTAATTTTTGATCACGTAATCGAAATGTTTTATCTAGTCCAACTTCACCTAATAGTGAATTTGGATGTGTTTTTAACAAATTTTCTAATTTGCTATACCATGTATTAAATGATGTAGGAGACGGTAAAGTATTAATAAATTCCTCCAAATAATTACTTCTTGAAGGAACTTTTGGTCCAATATCCTTTAAGATTGTTCGATAATGATCTTTACTTTCCGAAGGTTCATCCTCGAGTGAAAGTAAATGACAGAACCATGGATGAAATCCTTTTTTTTTTTTATTAAGAAAAATAAATTTAATCCTTCAATAATGTTTATTTTAAAAAAAATAAATAAATAACTTTACCAAAGCAAGGAATGACCTTTTCTTGAAAATCCGTTGCAAGCTTGGAAACTACGTCCAAATCCTCTAAACGAGTTCCCATTAAACAAACCTTATTGGTTTTCAAATTACCAATTTTCTCGAGATTTTCTACATCGTCGTGCGCATGTGTATGAGCATCACACGTCTTTGACCAAGTAAAATCAACTTCCATGACTGATGATAAGAAAGCGGATTATCATGTGTTTGTGTCGATCATCTGCCATCGTATAAAATCAATAAATTAAGCTTAAACAAAAATAATTAATTCATGATGTTAAAAGTTTTAAAATTTCAAAGATCATTCTTTACCACCACCACAAAAAAATTGAATCAAAAACAAACTTATCGTATATTATTTTTTGGTTCGGATAATTTTTCTGTGCCATCATTAAAATCTTTAATAAATGAATCAAGTACGAAATTCTTAGATTTAACAATAATATCTACTTTACTTTTGATTTACTTGATAATGTTTCTTTGAACAAAGAAAATCCGGATACTTTTGTAAAATCCATCGAAGCTGTAGTGCCACCCGATAAAAAAACCGGTAGAGGTTACAAGGAAGTAGCAACAAGTACATATCGTTTATTGAATTATCAAAGTAATTTATAAATTATTAAACTTGTTTTATTTAAAGGTCCCGTAAAAAAGTTCGCTAAAGAATATGACTTGAAAATTCATGAAGCGCCTCCAAAATCATTAGAAGGATGGGAGGTAAAATGAGTAACTCGAACCATTTTCTTAAAATGTGTTTCGGTAACATGCTTCTTTTTTTTATAAAAGGTTCCAAAAACAAATTTTGATTTCGCCATAGTGGTTTCATTTGGATATTTCTTAACCCCTTCGATATTAAAATCATTTACTAAAGGCTCGATAAATGTTCATCCATCATTATTACCAAAGTAGGTAACAAATCAATTCTTTTTTAATCTTAAATCCTCGTTTTTTTAACATATTTAGTTGAAAAGGTATCGAGGAGCATCACCAATTCAATACACTATATTAAATAATGACAAAATAACGGGGATCACTATCCAAGAATTACATCACGAAACATTTGACGCAGGAAAAGTACTACGACAAATATCGATTGTACGTCACGTGACAATCAATACGATTTACCATAATTCGATTAACACGTTTTAATTAAAATGTCATTAGGAAGTTCCTCCGAATTCGACTTATACTACACTTGAACCTCATCTCGCAACAAAAGGAGCAGAATTATTAATCGATACATTAAAAAATTTCGATTATCATAAAGACAACACGAAAGAACAAGATGCTTTAAAAATCATAAAAGCCCCAAAGATTAGGAAAGAAATGAGCGAGATTAAATGGTCACAGATATCTGCTCAACAATTGGAACAACTTTATCGCGCTATTTCGCATCAGGTAAAAGAAATCACTTTATAAAATGAATTATGAAATGGGAAATTTTTTGATTAAACTAATATATATTTTTTTTAAAGTACCCGTTATCAACCAAATTTAATAATAAAATCATCCAGTTACATAATATTTCATTACCTTCGTCTCAGCAACAATTATTATTCCAACATGGTAAAACCCTTCGCCCTGGTACAATATTAATTCGCCATCCTGAACAATTATCACCAGTGGCTTATGTAGTATGTGCTGGTAATAGTTTTATTACATTTAATAATGTTAAAGTTGAAGGGAAAAAAGAGGTTTCAATTTTAGATTGGATTAACGGATACCAAATAAAAAGTGAAGAAATGATGTTTGACGAATAAATTACAACAAAAAAAATATATGTTTTTTTTTTTGATATAGGCTCAAAATAATTTTTAGTTTATCTGAAAATTTAAAATTTTCTTATAGCATTTATCGAAAATTCAGATTACACAGTAAATACCAATCTTACAATATTATCCCAATAATTGAGTTCATCGAACGAAAGTGGATTCATTAGAATTTGATTTAGAAATCCGTGTAACGAAAATTTAATTATGTAATTATCGATGTTATCCGATTCTCGCATGATAAAAAAAAATATTTCTGTTAGAGCAATAACATGATGATTTCCATATTAAAATGCATCTTGCATTATCAATGAAAGCTTTAACCACCCCAAGTTAAAAACAAACCTTTTTTTAGGATAAATCAAAGCATAAGATTTCATCTGGTGCGATTTCGTTCTTTCTTTGACCGATTAACATCATCCCACGCAAAAATCATCACATTCGATGTCCTTTTTCGTAAGCATAAATTCTCAGCCAAGCCTTTTTATAAGCCTCATTGATTATATAGCATCTCCGTGGCTTTTTATTTTGTACTTTTTTATAATATTGACAATCCAATTTTGACAAAGAGACGCATACGAGTTTTAAAGAAAAAAAATACACGTATTTTTTTTTTTAAAAAAAAATTTTATCTTTTTTTATATATAACAAATTCATCCTTTTCTTTTTTTTTTTTCTTTTTTTCTTTTTCTGATTTCACCATTTTATTATCATTATTTAAAAAAAAGAACATGCCTTCGACTTCTTTTTTTCAAAATGATAATTCATTACAACTTCCAGCAACAGCATATTTTACAACAATCAACGATGATGCACTCAACAATCCTAATAAATCACAAAATCTTATCCAAAAAGAACCGTCTATAAATGATTATATAAAATATAATAAAAATTTAACGTTTTCATATCATCCATACTTATATAAATTCCAGCAAGGACCACTTGGAGAACAAGATAGTTATTTGATAGGAATATTAAATTTAAATTTATCATCGATAACAGCGATAAAGACGACAAAAGAAAGCATTATTAATTGTGTTTATTTAAAATTTAAAGGGCGAGAAAAGGTTAAGTGGGTTATTAGAGATGGGCCGAGAAGTAAGAAAGGTTTCGGTGGAGAACATATTTTATGTGATGTTGGATATAAAATTTGGGAGTCATCGAGTAATGAGAATACTAGTTTGATGGAGCTATTGTCTCAAACTTGTGGCAAAGATCTAACCAACGAAATCAACGGAACCAATGATTTGATGAGGATCCCATTTAAAGTCAAATTACCGTATAATTTGCCCGATAGCATAGAGTCAGAATTTGGTAACGTCGAATATACCCTTAAAGCCATGATAACTACTTCAATTAATGTTGGAAATGGGATTTCAACAACCAGCGGAACCTTCTTATCCACGATTTTCAAACAACGATTTACTAGCGAAATTAAAATTCCGCTTAAACACACATTAATTTTAAATCACGACAAAAATCCGCCATACATCATTCACGGAGAAAATATCATTAACCTTTACAATAATAATTCTTCTTATTATGACTCAAAGAATAGGATTGCTACCGCCACCACCGTGCCTCCAATGTTGAATTGTACTTTGGTATTACCACCCAATAAGAATATCAATATTGGAATATATATTTCAATTCCAATTCGAATTAGGATTATAGAACCAGGAATAAGTTTGGAAATGGTTGAAATTATGTTGAAATCATCAAAAGATTTTAGATCGAGTAATGGTGAATCAAAACATGTCAAAGAAATTTCTAGCAAAATCATTATACCACGAAAAAACATTAACTTCATAAATTCAAGAAATAACTTGAAAAAGAATCCTTTTGCGGTTAAATCAAGCAGAGTTGATGGGGAATGCATTCAAAACATAAATTTTTATATCCCAACGTATACATTACCGACATATAATGGTCGTTATATTACCATCTCTCATCAATTATTATTAAAATGTGGTTTGTCATATACAAATCATAAAGGTGTCATTAGTAAGTTGAATGATTTCGTCATTGAGGAACATATCAATATTTACAATATACATAAAAATTTTGACATTCAATTGCCAAACGTTCCTTTGCCTCCTAAATTCTTTAATCCAAAACAATTTTTTACTACAAAACTTACTAGCATTGATAGTTTACACGTGATTCCTACGAGTAATTTTAATAGTAATGATAGTAAAGGCAGTATTCTTCAAAGTAGTGATAGTAGTGATAGCAGTAATGATGATATTGATTCATTGTATTATTATTCTCGTCCAGCTTCTTCTTTATTTTCTTTACATTCAATTAATTCTACCTCGAATGATGGCATATCACGTTTATTATCTACTAGGAAATAATTTATGCAATAAAGTTATAAAAGGAATTAATAAAATAAATATTCTTAAAATGATTTCTTTTTTTTTTTTACTGTACGGAACTACACACAAAAAAATTATCATACAGTGTGTATCATAAAGCGATGATCGCTAAAGAAGTAAAAAAAAAAACCGAAAGACTGTTTAAGATTCGATATTCGAATTTTTATGTAAATTACTTCTTAATTGCCTGATTTATTAGAAAATATAATATTACTTACTATACATTTAAAAAAGCTATAAATAATATCAAAATAAAATTCCGATTCGAAAATTACAAATTTAATTGAAGCATAGATTATGATTTAACTCTTCATAAGTTCCCTCATAATTTTCTTTAAAAATTAATTAACTTTAATAACGCATAGCACCAACTGAGACAAAAAAAATGCTACAACCATTATCACATTTTCATCTATTTTATGTACTGATGCATTATCAACCAGTAAAAGAATGTGCCGATTATGTAATCACATCTGCTTAAAAAGACATATTGAAACCTGTAATAATTGTATATTCGTGGATTTTGATATGCATAAATAAAAAGTGGTTATAATTTTTCAGTTCTGTTTTTTGATTCTTTTTTCTAGAATTGTGCCTTTTAGAAGGTTCAAGATTCTATAATAAATATGAAATATTTAAGTATTTTTAATAAAAATTAGTATTACCTAATCACAATTAAAAACATCATTTAAATCATAACCTTTAATGATTTCACACAAATTTTTCTTTCTTTTCTAACGTTTCTAATGATACACTTTTACATTACCCTATTTAATATATTATTTTAAATTATAATGTTCTTTAAATCTATTAATCCATCTATTAAAAACTGTAAAATTATTAAATTCAAATTGCTGATAACAAATTTAGCTTTTCACATTAAATATCTGTATTGATAATAAGGTCTGCATCAAGTTTATTAGTTATCCATAATAAAAAACCTCTTTTACTTGAGAAAAATGAATAAACTTTTCTTTCTGTTTGATTCTTTTGATTCTGAATTTATACTCAGTCATTTTTCTTTTTTTAAAAATATCTATATAGTATTTTGTTAATTATATAAAATGACAAGTTCTTCTTGAATAAGTTATAACGTTTTTTGATAATCTAAACAGATGTCTTTTTTTACATATATTAAAACAACTCTTTTCTTTGTTTAAATAAAATTTAAAGTTAAATTTTTTTTACCTATAGTTAAGATATAATTTCTAATGCAAATAAAGATCTATTAAATACTTTAAATAAATTATAACCTAAAATATCAGTACTTTTACCAAAGTAACAAAGAAAAATATCAGTATATATTATATTATGAAATTATATATATATAAAGATTTTTAATTAATAATAAAATGTAACATAAAAAATTTATTCTGTAAATACAATTATACAGTATATATATATAATATCATTATTTAGAGATCTAATTGTATTAATTAAAAAAATTTCATTATTTTTAAAAAATTTAAAATCTGATATCTGAATTTGTATATGTTTTAATATTTAAATTTTATATTTTACTAATAAATCAATTTATAATATATATTATAATCCAAATGACCTTCAAGGATTGAAAATGTGATACAATAAAGTGATCTATAAATGATCATCATGTGGATTGATTTACAAAATCAATAATATAATAATCTGCAAAAGTGATTTGTGAAATTAACCAGATCAGTTGAAGTAATAGATTATTAGTTTATGACGACACACATAACCTTCTAAACTAGAAACTCCAAATAGGAATTTCAAGGAGAAACTAGTCAAAGGCTAAGTATAAAGATATAGTAATAATTTAAGAACAATATAATTATATTCTCTACATCTCTTCAA